CGGCCTGCGACACAAAGTCCTGCAGCCGCGCACTGGTACGCAGGTTCTGTGAGAAGATGTCCGAGGTGGCTACACAACGTGGTGATTTCACAGAGTCGGAAATCGGCACAGTCATAGACAGACTTTTGGGCTGCCCGCTATCAGTCGTAAGTGCCTTTGCGTCCCTCTATTCATTCACTAACGTCCGCTAATTTTTAATGGGGACTAAGGACGTGTGCGAATAAGAACCTGTAAATAATTCATCTGACCCAGTCCTAAACAACTCGGCGGTTTCGATGGAATTCCAGCCCACGACAGAGGGCAAGATTTGAGCACTGCCAGCGCTCTAACCACCTAAGCGACAACGATCCATCAGATAACTACTAGCCTCACTTGATTAACAGACTTCTTGGCAGACATGAACACTTCCTTTCACTCATCCGCAAAGATCTCGGCGAGGCCAATGAGATTCATACCCATGAAAGCAAGCGCAGGACATGAGTACACCAAGGCTATAGCCACCTGCATTACGAGGCGTCACCAGGTGCCATGAGTTCAATCATATCTGGGTTGTTACCCGCCCAGCCTACTGCAACGTACGGAATCTACCAATTCTGATGCAGGCTAGACCATTGGTTGTTACTAAGCCTTGCTTTTGCTGTCGTGGGTTCGAATCCCACTGATACCGCCGAGTTCTCCATAAACTAGTCTAATGGACTATCCAATCTGCCAAAACACCTAATTTTGCAGAAGTCTCCTCCTAGGTGACAAGGTAGAAAGTTGTTATCCCAGTTTCACTTTAAAATTCACACTGTTTTCAAAATAGTCCCACGTTAATCCCTATCATCTGATCTATCAGGAGCACCCAACTGGCAGTTAGGACAGAATCCAGGATGCTAAAATCTGCCAGTCAGCCAGGTGGTACAAACCAACTTAAGCTAGATAACATGGTCCGGCGGCGGCTTGCAGGAAATAGTCACAAACAACCAGAAAACTCATGCAGTCTCTGATTAGGATTTACCCTCCCACGTTATTCATGGCCACTATGTGAAGAGAATGTAGTGCATAAGAATGGCTGGCAATTCTCATTTCACGCAACGCGCCGCAACTGTCAGCCTGGACATAGAGCGCGCCCAGGCGTCATGTATTTTGGCAACTAAGTCACAGGTAGACCCTCAATGGCCTAACGGGTTCCTTTCCATACGTCTCTTCCTACGTTTTGATTGGGTGAAACTCAGTAGCTAGGCTGCAGTAGCAAGCGAATTTACTCAATATTGGTCCATGGTTGCTGTCAGCGTTCTCATTAGATTGAGTAGAAGGCAGTTAACGTGAAAAACAGGCAATAGCAACAAGCTCTCAAAAATGATTGTAAACGAACCCGCGGGTGGGGTAAACCGACTTCATCTCAACAGGACAGCGGGTCACGCACGAGTAAGATGCTTTAGGCACGTTTTTGCCCTCACCGTGAATGCAGTGACGTCGCCTTAAATCTGACCCGACTGCCCCACTTCAAGCGACGAAGAGTTAGGCTCAAAAATTAGCTCGACGCAGTCCATACAGATGTGAGAGCGATTCTTGGGCTTCTAGTCATCGCCAGGGAACAAAGTGGGTCAAACTTCAGGCCCACTGTCATCGATCATTGTGATTGCATAGGTATTATTTAATGGTAGGGGGCGCTCACCGATCGTTCATACGGAACTCACTCGTTCTGTTGTGCCTTAAGGGCTCTCTCTCGAGCCCAACCAGCAGCCGCACAGCGGCGCATCATATATAGGCAGAATGGTATTACCTTGTCTTTGTCGGTAATACCATTCTGCCTAGGTATTATTTATGTGATCATTTAGGCCGGCCAAATCAGGCCTCACGGTCGTATCGAGCAAACAAGCAAGCGGAGAGCGAGCCCCACACAGAGCCGCTGGTCCAAGCCACCCCTAATGAAAACGATTGATGATAGAAAAGAACAGGCGAGTTCCGGGTAGCAGTTCTGAAGACGAAGATGCGATCACTGGAACAAGAAATTTATTGGCCTGACGTTTCGGATTCTCACTTGAATACATCATCAGAGACATTCGCAGATAAAGGTGATGGTGGCACAGGGATCGCAGTACTTATGGCACGTGGCTGCCATGGGATCGTACGCACACTGCAATTCACAGCTCTCGCAATCATTGCTGGGGTCGTAATTGATGCGGTGGTGGCTTGTCAGTCCGAGTCATGAGGCCAAAAGACCCGCTGCCGCGGCAGGAAACGTCTGAAGTCGTTTACCGGATCTGGCTTAGTTGCGGACAAAGCAACTATGTCGGAGAAACTGGGAGATTACTTCGTACGCGAACTGCCGAGCACACAACAGCAGTGAGGCGGGGAGATGCTAACTCTCAGGTGGCGGCACACTCGACGGGACCCGGCCATACTTTCAAATTTCAAGAGACCGAAATCCTCACAAGGGGTGACAACCGCGTGAGCCGCGAGCTGCTTGAGTCATGGTTCTGAGGCACGCAATCTATCGACAAGCACAATGACCTCTCGGCACCATATGCCGTGTTGAGATTTTCCCTGGGCAGGGGAATGAGTCAAGTGGGGAGGGCGCGGGCGAGCAATTATCAGTGACAGTGATCTAATTTACCGAGCAATCCTCACACCAGCGTCCATAACGGATGACGGAATCACGGCAACTAACGACTCGGACTCGGACTGAAAAGCCACCACCGCATCAATTACGACCCCAGCGGTGATTGCGAGAACTGTTAGGTGCAGTGTGCATACGGTCCTACGGCAGCCACGTGTTATAAATACTGCACTCCCTGTGCCACCATCACCTTTATCTGCGAATGTCTCTGATGATGGATTCGAGTGAGAATGCGAAACGTCTGGCAAATAAATTTCTTGTTCCAGTGATCGCATCTTCGTCTCCTGTAAAACGATTGAGGCTACAGAAGAGTATCCGGTAAAGTGTAGAACTGACGCCTGCTGATCTAGGTCATCTGAGACCCTGTAACTTAGAAAAAATGCATCGGTAAGCCTCGGCCCTCCTCTCTCTTGGTAGAGTATTGTAGTTCTTAATGTAAAAGCTACTCGCTGCCAAATTCCACCTTCAGGTGGAAGTGGGTTACGTGGCTGACCCCATAAACTGCGACAACGCCTGGCTCGAAATCACCGCCATCCGCATAAACGTTACAGCTGCAGTTGAGAGCAACACCAAGCTGTTGAAGGTAAGACTGCTACTTATTTCAAGACTCCACCTTGATGGTTTCTTGTGTCACTTTCCGTTCCAGTCGGTGTCTGGCTTTATTCTGTCTGACGCAGGCAGCCGTGTGAATGGCCAGTATTCGTATATCCGAACAACTGCTTAAATTCTACTTTCTAATTTTAGATATTCCCGATTGAGGGCTCCAAGGCAAGCTGGGTGGACGAAAACGACTTACCTGAAATGCGAAAGAGTCATTTAAAAGCATTCCAATGTTACAGAAGTCAAATGAATTAATACCTTTACGACAATAAAGTCTAAAATCGTACCCTGTTTTCGTTAGACCGGCCCGTTCCTTAAGGTTTTACAGCAAATACAAGGACAACAGACAACCGACGGACTGTATGCCGATTCGACTGCTTCAGACAACCGATAAGCTGGTAACTGTAAGGAGAAGTAAATCAGTCGTGTGGAGGATAATGAATTAAGGAGCCTTGGCGAAGTAAAGGATTGCATAAAAATCTCATGCATAGAATCCCGTGGGCTATTGAATGTTGCGTATGATAGCGGCGCACAGATTCACCTACTTAATTCCACCTGCATAATATAGTTTGGTTCGCGACGACTTAATAAAAAATGAGGAGAGGTCAGGTCCCGGTATGCTGTTTCGCTAAAAAGATTTTGCTCGATGAAAGACCACAAAATTTATCGCAAGCAAAGTGGTCCAAGCAGAATCGGCTCAGGAAATATTTCCCCAAGCCTGCTAAACCAAAGGAAGCAAGAAATAGCAACTACGGCCTGTGGACGTTCAAGCCCACCGATACAATAGGAAGAGCTACAATAATTTACGCCCGTTATTGTAAAATGGTTACCAACTTCGTGGGCTGTAGAAGCTCATGAAATATAAATGGCGGCAAATGACAGCTCAGGAATGACAGTTTTGAGGGGGAGTTTGTGAGCACAAACCCACTGATAAGGGAGAATATGCCGCCCAGCCATGACAAATAACCGCCTTCCCAAGCTCCCAAGACCTCAAACAGAAGGTGAGTTGGCTACTAGAAATCTGATCTAATCATGCGGGTCCGAAACAAAGATCAAAGGCAACAATCCAGAGTCGAATATGCACTCCGGGATGCATCACGACTGTTGTTTTGGATGACTGGAGGATTTTGGCCAGACGAACATGTCCGTCTTAAGTAGTGTGTGTAGCAGGTCTGTATAAGTCGTAAACTGACTGGTAACCAAACGCAACTATGACTACACAGAAAATTCAGGATTTAAACCAACTAGGCAACCATGTCTGGCACGCTTGGTAAGAGTGGACGGCCTGCCTTGATTAGTAATTTCTGGTGAAACTGGGCCATGAAGAATTGTACAACGAGCTGACTTATTGATAACTAGTACCCTAGAGCCCATCCCTCAGACCATCGCAACCAAAGTTGCTCCATCGTCCTGCCTGCAATCAGATCTGCGAACGCCTGCGAAACATCCCGAATGGCAAATTGGGAACAGACAAATGTGTCACCGAATAGTTCAAATCGTATTTTGCAGAAGCGTCGTGTCTCCCTTGACAAGGTTATCCACTTACTGGTAGTCTGTGACCAGCCGGGCTTCCTGTAATCTACATAAAGGGGTCAGTTTAGGCGACCTAAAAGAACTACACTTTTAATTTTTTGTGAACTCCCAGACATTCACGAAATAAAGAAGCAAGTGACAAAGGCTCATTTTATCTCAGAATTAAGTTGAACAGTCTGTACAATGAAATAGGCTCATAACTGCGGAGTCTCACCTATAGGGGAGGTGAAAATACAAGTCCAAGGTGCCAAAAGGAGGCAACCTATCTTATTATATCAAAAGATGTAAAGCTGAGGGCAGTGATTGAACGTTCTTTATTTATTTCGCATTTCTGAATGCGCGATTTCGGGCTTCCAGTTGTTTTAAGCCAGTTTTTACTAAAGATGCGGATTAGAAGCTATAATCTTACAATACGTCCATTTTCGAATCGGGGCCTTCGGCAACTCCAACTACGGTCCCAGTAGACGTGTTTTTAACCCAACCAACGATATTATTTTCGCGTGCAGTCATAGCGGTATACTACACAGTGTTATTTTGTTAAAATTTGCGGTATGCCTACTTTTCGGAAAAATACACCTGCGGAGCGGTTACATAATTTTGCTGTTACCTTGTACTCTTCCAAAGACTTCGAACTCGAAGGCCTTCAAGCAAGCAGACGCGGCTGCCATAACTACGGTCACCGAAAAGTGCGCTCTCTTGATTTCGCAAATGAACACATTCAAACAGCAAGAGCCGAAGGCATGAAAGACAATCGTTTGTCAAGATCCCCTTATATAGTTGAACCAGAAATTTCGGGAACTCTGTATCCAAAAGGTCATAATAAAGTCCAAGGATAACGGGTCGGAGAAAATTCCCCACCAAAGAATTGTAGGAGTCATTTAGCTTAGTCGGAAGTGTTGGACATTTTGCGTCTTAGGAATTTGCTCAGTTCTCCTGCAAGCCAAACCCCCCAACCGCAGAGACATCCTCATCCGTCTTATTAAACAAGATAAGTTCGAAGCGTTCAACAGAAACCGCGATAACTGTTTTGGTGAGAGAAATCGTAGGATTTCCTCGGTACGGACAGACAACCAATCTAGCCTGTCATTTACCGCGTCTCAAACTAAGTGTGAAAGTGTCGACCGAGCGATTCAACGTTGTTCGATATTTCGCTCTGCTTGATGCTCAAACAGCTTGTAAAGAACAAAAACGTTATTAAATTTTGTAATTCCTCCATCATCAGAAATAGAGAACAGGGATTTAATAGAAAAACCGACATACTTCTGGTCGTTTCTCTGTCAACAGTTGCGAAAAACCCCCCAGATCAGGAATTTTTAAGTTTTCCGTTACTTACGTTATACCATTCTCCTGGTTAAAGAATTCGTTTAATATCTTTAAAAAGATTTCAACGTTTTTCATTCGATAATCGGTATCGAACATGTCCTTGGGACGTTATATAAAATTTCAGCTTTGAGCCAGATTTGAGCCTTAACACCTGAGCGCAGCTTCCAGCTTAGTTTCTACTTAGTTTGCAATCAAGTTGAAAAATAAGGAAACAATCATCAGATACCGCACAAATGACTGCAGTGCCGAGTTTTCCGCTATCAAACATCCTCCCGCCAACCGGACTCAGAAATTAGTGACTTTGAGAGATGCCAATTATGAAGACAAAATGCACACATTTTTCGTACTTCTTCAAACACGCTTTTAGTAGGACAATGTAAAGGAACTTCCTTTGTCACTTACCCGAATAGAGGAAAAGTTGACCCCGTGAATTGGGTGGATTTTAGGAAAATTCGAGCGGCCGCACTCGGTTTACTCATATAAGCCTGGAGACCATGAGTGGTTCAAGGTCAGAATTGTCTCGAAAGTGTGCAGAAGAGAGCTAAAAAGTGGCAAGGGGTCAAAACTTCATTGCATTTGCGACAAACCTAATAGACCTGAACCACCTCCCTTTTGGATTATGGGCAATTACGCTGGGCTTTCATGCAAGCATTTCACATGTTAAAGGGACTAGACTGAAATTTGGCCTTTAAAAATTTTTGAATTCGCTACCATGACTAAACACCGAGGTCGGCCTTTACAACTGCATTCAGCAAGCAAGGCTGGACGTGAGGAAGTTCTCCTTCACTGTTCGAGCGGTCGAAATATGGAATATCCTCCTGCAGATGATGCTAATAATAAAAATAATAATAAAAGTATTAGTATTAGTAGTGGTAGTAGTTGTAGTAGTAGTAGTGGTAGTAGTAGTAGTAGTAGTAGTAGTAGTAGTAGTAGTAGTAGTAGTAGTAAAAATAACAATGATAATTGTATTTAATGCCAGTTTACAGACATTGAGAAAGAAAATCAGAGCAAGAATAGGACTTACAATGAAAAAAACCTCCTTATGATTGAATACTGTGGACGACGTTTTTGTAGTTTTGATGGGTCAGCAGAAAAAATACTGCGCGCCTTCCGAATCCGTTTTGCAATTTCGGACCTCCTAGGGATTTGCCCTTTTTCGGATTTCTGTCTACTGGACGCACTGTGAGGCCATTCGGACTAAGACATTGAAGCGTAATCAGCAATTATTCCAACGATCCACACGGAATTCCGAAGGAATTTTCTTCGGGACAACCATTTTCCTTCGTATCACTTCTCCGACAACAGCACAGGGACACTCCAGATCCAAGAACGGCTGAGTCGTTTGTTGTTTACTTCAAATTGTTGGCCTGGTTAAAAAGCTCCTCCTACACCTTTCACTACTCAGTCCCATACCTAGAATACCTTGGGCGTCTTTTGAATTAATAATGGGAGTCGACAAAACACCTTCAGGACAATGTGCAACAAACTTGCCACAAATGGGGTTCGAGCTCATGTTCCGCCGTGGGGTGACCAACGAGATCACTACTAGAGTACCTGCGCACGGTGAGCAGGCGGAAATAAATAAAGGAGCAAACATTACTCTTAGTGCAAACGATTGCAACTCTGTATGTATCGTTGTCAAGTCACCTCCCGCCAAACGTGCAAGGAGTTTAATAGACTGTATGTATATCAAATACGAAAACGAATTGTGTATGAAATTCTTCGGACTCCTTAAAAAATTTGCGGAAAAATAGAAAGAGATTAAATGCCTTAAAGTTGAAATGGAGAAGCTGAGGAATATTCCTCACTATTTATCCTTAGTGAATGAACGTGAGCAAACATACTCAAACACAGCTTCATCGGCCATGCCGAAAGAGGAGAAAGAAAATAATAGATCTCTAGAGCTCGATACGAATAGCAACCAGTGTCTTTTGCGAGTAAAGGGTGGCCAGACGTGATTTCAGCGAACAAAAATATGTCAGTTTAGTTTCAGTTTATTTTATTTGGTAAGGATAATAGGCAAAGCCTTTGAAAACCCTATTGATTACATGTCAGCTCGTTAGAATAACTGTACACGAACAAAAAATGTTCACTATTAAAACAGTACTTGGTTCATTTGAGTAGCATTGTCTC